TGTTAATGAAAACACACGGCCATGATTCATGGAGTATTCAAAGTGATGATCATGTGACACGGGAAAGAACCAGTCAGCTGACAGTTACTGCTTCATCGTGTACGTGTAAGTCCTGAAAAAGCACGAGCTACGTTATTTAACTGACAAGGAAACAAACAGGAAAGCAAACATTTGCTGCCTTTGTTGGTTTAAAGTATGAAGATTAATTCAGTTTCAGTCACTGTTACACAGTTTCTGCTTTTCCAGACATCACAAACCTCTAACCTCCCCGACACTAAACTGCAAATGTTTGTAGATGTGGAACGAAACAATGACAAGAAACGTCATGGAGAATATTCTTTCTGTTTTCTAACATTTTAAAGATAAAACAATGAACAGATTACAATAGAAATCAGTTGCTGCCCTTGATACGGTGTTATATGTAGGAGTACAGTGCTTTTTCAGACCACGGCCCATTCAGCATTCTTTGTTTCCTCAGAGGGAAGTAAGCACTAACAACAACACATCAGATAAACGGTGATGAAACCACTGGCACGCCATTAGCACCGGCGTCTTTTAATATCAGCATCAATATTAACCTAGAATTTAAAAACCAGTGCATCCATAATTGTGTTGTAATCAGTACAATGCTCCGATGGTCGCCATCGTTTCCTTATGTCCAGACTACAGCACTGGCTCTCCTCTGAGCCCTCCAGCTCAGCTCCAACCACTTTTAGTCTGATTTTGATAACTGTCTTGGTTTTCTGACCACACAATCATTATTTTGGGCTGCATCAGGCAGCTGTTTCTAAAACGTTGTCAGAAACCAGCTGTACAATAACTGCCCAGCTGTAGGACACCCGCCCTGTAAGCCGGCAGACGTACAAATTCACTAGAAATGGAACAAAGCCTGCGAGCGCTACATGCTTCTGTCTCCTCACGTCACAAACCAAACACAGTGCCCTAATGCGGTGGCCTGCGCCCGCGGTGAACTTCCACCTTTTCCTCTGACGTGTCGTTGCTGCTGCCATGCCCAACACCCACCCACGGGCTCCTGCAGGACATTCAGTCATCACTCCCCAATTTCTGCTGGTATATTTGAGTGGACAGATGAGTTCTGACGCTGGAGGCCAAACTAGAGCTTGCTGCTGAGTTTTCCAGTTCAGTGCTGAACACATTTTGAAGTCTAGCTAACGTATTTGCTGTATCCACTTTAAATTAGGGCTGAACGATATATCGCATTTGCGATAATATCGCGACATGATC